ATTATTAACAATACTAATTATAATAGACAAGATTTTAACAATAGGAGAAATACAGAACGACCGAATTACAACAGACAGGTAAATCATGTACGAAGGAATAGAAGCTGTGCAAATAGTAAACGAAATAGTACGAGGCAGGAAAATATGAGTAGAAGTCATAGCAGTGAAAGACACACGACATTAGATCCAAGTGGTCAGACACAATCGGACAATTCTAACAATCCAAATTTTGTGCAGTAAACTTTCTGAATTACAAGTTGGGGCCATTGTCATTATGAAAAACCTTCTGAATTTATTTCTTTAGATGAAGATAAAATTATTGAATCTATTAATTTAATTTATATAAATGCTATTACCAAAAATAAAATGATTAAGATTATGATAGATACTGGTTCAGAAAGTACTTTAGTCTCGGAAAAATTTCATTTTTAATACATTAAACTATCAGATATAATAAAGATTCCAAAAATTAAAATTGTTGGTGCAAATAATAAGAAGTTGGGTGAAATTGATAAACTAGCCAATTTTAAAATTAATATTATTAATAAAGAAATTAATATGCAAGGATTTGTTGTCAAGGATTTATGTGTTAATATATTAATGGGAAATGACGAATTGGAAAAGACTAAAGTAAAGATAGATTTTGAAGAAAAAGTTGTAACTTTGGAGGGCAAATAATTAAGTTTATGCAGAAAGATGAGGTGGAAGAAGACATAAGAGTTGATAGGATATTATTAAAAAAAAAGCAATTATGTTTATGAAGAAGAAATATATTTTGATGATAGGGAGATGTCCCAAAAGAATGTAAAGAATAATTGTAGTGAATATTTAAGGAATGGAAATTTTAAGCAGATGGATGCCTACGAGGTGGAGTGCGTTAAAACTGGAAGCAAGGAATAATGATTGCAAAATAAAAAAATAATTTTATTTGTAAAGAAGAAGCTATAATAAAAGTTCTAAGTTGCCATGAAGAATATAAATCAATAGTCGTTTCCATATTGCAGCAACACAAGGGACTTGTCAATAAAGAAAATAGAATTGTACAAAATTATATCCATAGTATAAAAGTTAAAGAAGAAAAAGATTTTAATCAACAAAATCATACCCAATACCATATAAACACAGAGAAGAAGTAAATAGAACGATCAAAAATATGTTAGAAGATGGAATCATTGAGAAGGCAGATACACGTTTCATAAACCCTATAGTGGTAGTACGTAAAAGATCAGGTGAAATTAGGCTATGTTTGGATGCAATGAATATTAACAAGATCACTGAAAAGCAATTTGAAGCACCGATATGAGTATAGATGGAATACTAGGACGAATTACAGGAATGTCATTTTTCACTAAAATTGATTCACAGCATAGTTTCTGGTTAGTCAAGTCAAGTCAAGTCAAATTTATTGATCACATGCGACATTATACAAAGTACATGTATGAGATAAGTCAAAAATACAGACATAAATCTTAAAATTATATAAATTAATTAAACACGATAAAACATACTTAAAAATTATTTTTAGAATATGGCTCTAGCTCACAAATGTATTGATGTACACACCTCCGAAAGTTTGGCTGATGTAAATTCATTCGTATATCTATTGGTAATTTGTTAAAGAAACTTTATGGCTGCATAATGTGTGCTACCTTCCAACAAAAAGAACGATGTTGTGGAAGCATAAAATGATTGTCTCTGAATCTTGTTGAATAAACATGGTTAAATTGAAATTTATTAAATTCATAAATTTTGCTATGCAAATTACATTATACACGAAAAATATACAGACCAGGAATTGTCAGAATATTGTTTTGTCTAAAGATGCCTCTACAAGAATCTCTAAATTTGATTTTTATACATTACCCTAATAGCTCTTTTCTGAAGTACGAATATCTGCTCTAATTCAGAGGTACAACCCCAGACTTCAATGCCATATTTTGCTATTAAGTTAAAAATTTGCAAAGTATACTGTTTTTAATATTGATGTATGAAAGAGACGTGAAAATTCTTAATGCATAACATGCGCTACTTAATCTGGATTTCAAATTAGAAATGTGGTTTGACTATTTACAATTACTGTCTAGAAGTACCCCCAGCAACTTCGTGCAGTCTGTTTTATC